TTAAAAAGGTAAGTGTTGATGACAATAATGATGATGTCTTTGATGATGATGGTAATGATAATGTTGATAATGTTGATGATAATGTTGATAATATTGCTAATGTTGATACTGTTGATGATGATGTTGATGTTGATGTTGATGGTAATGTTGATAATATTGCTAATGTTGATACTGTTGATGATAATGTTGATGTTGATGTTGATGTTGATGTTGATGTTGATGTTGATGCTGATGTTGATGCTGATGTTGATGTTGATGTTGATGCTGATGTTGATGATAGTGATGATAATGATGACCAAATGGAGAATCATATTAATTTTGATGAAAAGTTACAGGATTTGAATCGTATTTTGTCAGGTAATTTAAAAAAAATTTCTGCATATGAATATTTATGTTATAGAGCTATATATATATATTTCAATTATAAGAAGAATTATGGCATGACTTCCATTGATGCTAGTATGAAAGCAGCCAGTGACATTTATGAAAAAGGAGTATATAAATCTAGAGTTATAAGAAAATGTTCATCATATTGGTTAAACCATGGTACACTGCCAAAATCATTACAAGGTTGCCATCAGAAAACAAAGTCTTTCATTGATGATGAAGATGTGATTGAACAATCATTAAATTTTGTCAGAACAAATGGCAATAAAGTAACACCTTGTAAATACAAAGATTTTGTTAACAAGGTATTATTTCCAAGTATAGAGACTACACAATCAATATCTTATCAAACAGCTCGCATTTGGTTACATAAATTAGGTTTAAAGCCTCAATCACATAAAAAAGGCATTTATTATGATGGACATGAACGTGAAGATGTCATAGAATATAGGAAAAAGTTCCTTGAGGAAATGCAATTTTATGAAAAATATATGCCAATCTTTGAGGGTGAGAATATGGAACAAAAGAATCCTATTTTATTAGAGAATGAAAAATTACATTTATTTGTAGTTCATGATGAATGTTTGTTTTATGCAAATGATGATTGACCAATAGTATGGGCACCTCTTGGAGAACAACCATTACGAAGGAAAGGCCAAGGTAAATCAATAATGGTGAGTGAATTTCTCACAGAAACAGTTGGTAGGCTTAAATTATCAGAAAGTCAAATTTTACAATTTCCAGACTTACCAAAAGAAGCCAGAAAATATTTAAGACCAGGGAAAAATGAAGAAGGTTGGTGGACTGCAGATCATCTTTTAGAACAAGTTGTTGACTATGCAATACCAATTTTTAATGCATTACATCCTAATGCAATTGGTGTATTTGCTTTTGATAACAGCACCAATCATGGTGCAATGCCACCAGATGGATTGAATGCTATTAATATGAATGTTAAACCTGGAGGGAAACAAGCAATAATGAGAAATACCTACTTTGGACCCAATAAAACATTTCAATCAATGGTGTTTCCAAGTAATCATACAGAGCACCCAAATTTACCAAAAGGAATGAAACAAATTCTGATTGAGAGAGGTTTATGGAAAGAAGGACTTCCTGGTGATTGCAAACAGTGTAAAGGTAAATCTAAAGTTATTGATAATACCAGAACAGATTGTTGTATGCGCCGAATTCTTTCTTTGCAAGATGATTTTGTTGCTCAAAAATCAAGGTTACAAGAGGCTATTGAGCAACATGGACATAAATGCATTTTTTTCCCAAAGTATCACTGTGAACTTAATTGGATAGAGATGTATTGGGGTGCTGCAAAGTTTTACACTCGTAATAATTGTAATTATACCTGGACTGGTCTGCAAAAAACAGTTCCAGAAGCATTAGATTCAGTTCCTTTAATTACTTTACGTAGATATGCACAAAAATCATGGCGTTATATGGACATTTACAGAAAAGGTCTAACAGGAAAAGTAGCTGAATTTGCAAATAAAAAATATAAATCCCATAGACAAGTTCCTGATATGGTTTATGATGAAATTAACAATGTAATTTAAATAAATTGTTGTAAATAAAAAATTACTAAATTAAGAAAGATCTACAAATTGAAAATTGAGAAAAAATTTTTATTCCATAAATCGATTCCTTTTTTAAAGCTGAGTTCAATGGTGGTATTTTTTTAAAAATCTGATGTGTGGATCACATGATATTTCAATTTTTCTAAGTTCCCATTATAGGCCTTCTGCACTGTACTAATCCCATATCTAGTTTTAATTTTTTCTATTTTATCAACAGACAGAATCCCATCTAATAATTCTAGCATAATTTCTACAACCCGTTTATCGATAATGTTGCTTGGATTTTTTTCTCTCTTGCTAGAAATGGGATCATTTTTTTCCTTTCGAGTAGTAGAATACTTAGTATTGGTGGAGCCCAGAATCTTTGACTGATCTATTTTACAGGATTTAGATTTTTTTCTGGAAGATGCTTTATTCTTTACTTTTTTTTTTGTTTTTTTTACTTTGGAAATATTAACCTGCATATTCTCAATTTCAGATAAAGAGTCTTCAGAGTCGGATCCAGATCCAGATTCAGAGTCAGAGTCAGATGAAGAATTAGAATCATTATCAGAAGAGTTACTACTTGAATCGGAACTAGGTTCTATAGTAGTCATATTAACCTTAGCTTTTTTCTTGGATTTACTTTTAGATTTTCTCTTCTTACTAGGACAATTGCAGGAATTGTGCCCAGTTTTATTACAATTGGAACATCTATGATGAGATGATTTCTTAACTGCATTAACACCTGCCACTATTCCTTGTGATATAGCTTTATTTATAGATAACTTACTCATGCAATTAGAAAGCTCCTCATCAGAATCAGCTTCATTCCTTGAATCATTTTCATTTCCTTTTTTTTTGATAAATAAGGTGAAATTTTATCAAACAATTCTTCTTTAATAACCTCCTTAAGAGCCTGTAGAAATGATATATTATTTGGTTTAGTAGAAGCACTAAGACGATCTAAAGCATCATCCATTCTCATATATTCTTGATCATTAAGACGTAATTCTGGACGATGATATATTTTACCAAGTTCCATTTGATTAGGACGTAATAATTTTCTTTCGTGAATTTGAGAAGATTTATCTTATTGTGAAGAGGCATCATAGATCTTACTAAGTTTCTGATTTCAGTTTCAGTCATACCTGTATTATCTGAAAAATTATCTTTATTACGGGAATTTTTTGTTAATATAGAATTGGAAGTTGAATGTAAATAAGCACCATAACTTTCGATTTCTTCAAGTTGTGTACGCAAATCACTTATAGATCTGTTAATTCCAATACGCCGAACTTCCAATTGATTATTGAGAGAAAGAACACGAAGAAATTGTAATCGAATTTGTTGTTCATCAATACCTGCAAGTCTAGCAAGTTTACGTAATTTTGAATAGAAATGACCAACTGAATCACTTCCTTGAATAGTTGTACCAAAAAGTACTCATTGTTTTTCTGTAGTAACTATAGGATAATTAGTCTTTAACCAATATACTTGACCAAGCATATTTCCAGCTACAACTACAGTATTATTTGTATTAGCATTTGGTACGATCTGTTGGTCGACCATCAACATAAAACCAATCTTCATCAAATATTATATGAGTTGGAATTATAATATTACCATTTAGCCCATTTGCACGATTTAATACTTGTGCCCCCAATTGGGCTGCCGTTTGTCCTTGAACTGCACCTAAATTAGCTTGTGTCTATTAACAAGTAAATTTCTCAATTCCCAATTTTTTCTTCGAATAGTCCTTTCATACCAATCCTTAGCATCACCTTTTAAGCATGTTTCAAAAAGACCATGTATTCGAATTCCATCAGCATGCCCAACAGCTATATTAATTCCAGCGGCTATAAGATATGAACGAAAAGAATCAATAGAATCAATAAATTCCTCTGGATCTTCATGGGGTATCCATTAAATGTTGGAGGTACATACCTGTTCGATTGTTATTTATATGTATATTATTCTGAAGCAGTAAAATTTCTTGATTTAAATTATTTATTATTTGGTTCTGATCGATGATATCATCCTCAGCTATTTCGAGTTCATTCATAAGGCGATCTCGATTAAACTCCAATAGACCTTTTTCATTGTGGCATTCTAGTAAATCTTGTTCTGCCTTACGTCGTAATCTAATATTCTAGGGGAAAAATCGAATGATTCTTTAATAATAATAATCTAATCTAAAACATGTGTAGTTAATCCAATTTGATATCCTTGTATATAATCGCACAAATATATCAACCGACCTTTTTACACGTTTTATGAACTTCTAATAATAGTCAAGTTAGCTCGATGACACAAACGTAAACATATTAATATTCGATATATGAAAAAAAATATAGCCAGAACATGTAATATCTGTTCGTTTCTATCGTTATATATATAATATTAATAATAAAGCCTTTTTCTTGTTGTATATGGTTTCCCGATAAGAAGAAATGCCAATGAAACCTGAAAAAGATAAAAGAATGGAAGGTTTTATTGTACTTATCACCAATAATATTAAAACTCACATGTTATGGAACTTGAGATCTTTACAATCTCCAAAGATCGTCGAAATTTATCTTATTTTTCATTCTACAAAAAGCGATCGCCAGAATGAAAGATTTAATTTCTCATAAAAGGTGAAATATACTTTCCTCTTTGCGCTTGTGATTTAATAGAACTGCTTTATGGGGCAGAGATTCCGTTAATTGCAGGTGAAAAGCATTTTACTATCATATCATTATGTTAATCTCTTTTTCTAGTAGGTTCCAGGTCAAGCAAATGAACAATATAAATAAATCGGATTTGTGAGGTTTCATTTCTTATCTTATTGAATTTTTTTAAGGTACGCATTGTGAATAAATTTTTGAGTCAGAAATATAGTTACAACTTCATGTATTAATTAATAGTTTTGTTTTTCTTAGTACGATGTCTGCAAACATTATAGTGTGAAAAGGGAAATAAAAGTCTTTGGTACTAATCATAATAATATCTGAGTAAAGATCGAAGGGTTGATGAAATTTCAGAGAACATGGATTTATAAATGCAACGACAATTTCAACTGTACTTGTTAAGGATAGAGAAAGTCATCTCATAACTTGGATAAATAAATAGCTATGAGTTATCTGTAGATAGCAGAATAATTTTTATGCTAAAACAATGGAAAGAGCAAAGTGGATGGTCCGATTAAACCATTGGCTGACTATTTGGTAAGAAGTAAATTGCATCATATAGGTACGATATTTATTGTGTCTACAGTATTTAACTGCAATATAATTTCCTTTATTTGTATGTTGTTTTGACAACATTTTTTATATATCAATAAAGCTGAGTTATATGAACCAACCTTAATGTGTTACTCTAATAAGGTGTATGGGTGATAATTTCTCTGGCTTTGGAGTCGTCAAAAGAAAAAAATTCCAATAACATTTTTATATGGATGTTGATGTCCATGTTTTTACTTCAGAAAAAAATTATCTATTCTCCATATGTAGACATTGGCATCCACATTTTATTATCTGAGATTGTTTTGGAAAATCAATTGATTTAAATTGTTTAGATTGTGTTTTTCCACTTAAAAAAATTTGTTGCTCCATCAAGGGTGATTCTTGTTAAAGCTACGTTAGACATGATGTACCCAATGTAGTGAAGTGTCGGTTTTCTTTCTCTTGATTGTTTGTGTTTAATTGTGAATTTTAAATAGATCAATAAGAAATTCCCTTTATATATTTATACAAATGATCCAAATGGTGGGTTAGTCATATTAATATGACATGAGGTTCATTTCCTTAAGATCATTGATATCAATATGTTTACAAGTGCATACACAAGAATAGCATACATTTAAATGGAAATTTTTCATAAAATTGTTTTTGAGTAAATGCTTGTCATATATGTGCTTTAATTAAAATTTTTAATTACATCTTTTATCTGAAATAAAATTTATACAAAGGAAAAATCTATTTAAAATATATACATGTTAAGATAAATGAAATATAAAGTAACGAAAAATAAAAATAATGAATAAAAAAAACAATCAAATAAGAATTTATATTAATATATATATCATGATTAATATTTACATTGTCAAAGCTTTTGATTTGTTGACACTCAGGTAGAGAATTAACAAATTGAACTAAGTCCGAATAAATATGTTCTATATCTGTTAAGATAATATTATATTTGGACTTTCTAGCTTTTTCTATTGTTTTTAAGGTGAAACTACCTGTAGATAGTGCAATTAAAACACCAAGTTTATATTCACAGTATTCAGCTAATACACCAACCATTTCACATATAATGTTGGCCCTATTTATGTTTTTAAATTATTTTTTCATATCTAAATTACAAAATTTTCTATTAATATTAAACATACCAATTTTATGTTGCCAATTTTTACATTGAACTACAAATTGAATGCCATTAAGTTTTCCTTTTGTCCTCTAAAAAATCAAAAAAAATGAGTATTTATATCATCATTATCAAGAATTAAGAAGAATGTTACATTTTTATAACTGTGGCACAATGTGCTTTCAATTCTTAACTCATGTATCCTATTCACCACAGTCCTGGAATCTTAAGTCCAGCCAGCTTTTCAGTTGGTGTGGAGAAAGAACGTTCACAACAGGCTGTCCACTGTACAAGAAAAAAAATAAAAACAATACAGTCAGGGAGATTTCCAAATATGGAAATCGATTCTAGAGCCTTTTGCCGATCCTCTCATATATGATATAGTTTGCTCAGTCCTAAATTTTGGGCAAATTTTAAAAGTATAGAAGTCACTTTCTGTCCTACCTTTTAAAAAATAGCTCTATTAGCTGATAGGATATGTCTTTAGTTTTAATGTAATAGAGAGATTTTATTAAAAAAATTACTTGTTGTAAGTTCTATTCTTTTTTAAAGCATGTACTTTACTATGCTCGCGAGGAATTTGTCCACTAAGATCATTTCTAAATTTAGGAAAAATATACCAAATTTAGACTAGTTCTTGACCATCGTATCTAAATTTGGCAGTAAGAAAACCAAAATCACGTGAAGTCCTATTTTTTGAAAAATTTTATTACATTTTTGAACAAATTACAAAATTGCTATTTGGAAATTTGGCCGCATGGCACAAGCAATAGGAGGTCTTTAAGACCAAGCCAACCATAGACAGGACGTAACACGAATTCAGATGATAATAATTATACACGTTATTAAGGGTAGAGTGTAGGTAACACGAATTTCACTATGATAGTGTTGATAAAAAAAATTACGTAACACTCCGAGTTGTTAGCCTCATACATAACAGTCATAGGACATGTCACAAAAATTTATTTCTACTGCAAAAACATAGTAAATTTTGATCGGCATCGAATTTTTCATAGTAAAATTTACAATTGAATACTTTCAAACCCCAGTTTAATGCCCTTGTTGTTTAGCAATCATCACCAAATTTGATATATAGTTTCTTTATAGTATACATCTATTTCATGAAAATTTTTGAGGCAGGTTGTTAATAAAACCGTAGATAATCACAACCTTAAAGTTTTTTTTTGTTTCTGTGATCTCGTGTGTAGAAAATTGTCATTCGTATTGATTGCGAACAAATAATTATTTTTTACAAGTAATTACAGAACCCAGTCATTTAGGTATGCTTTCTACTAGAATTTATTATATTATTACATATTAAGAATAGAATTTGCTAGGGAAAACTTATAAAGTAATGTAAAAATTATTCATTATTATATATATATATATATATATATACACACACGTATATAGTTTCAGCTTTAAATTTATTAATATACTATTGTATTTTTTTAATATAAAGAAAGGTTTCATTCTTGGTACAAAGGAAGATTTTGTTTTTGGTACAAAGAAAAGTTTTGTTTTTGGCACAAAAGAAAGATTTCATTTTGATATAAAGAATTAATGCTGATAAAGTTATTATAGATATAAGATGTTTAAATCAATTGTATTATAAGATTTAATATTCCATTTAATTAAAGAAAACATTAAACTAATAAATTTATAAACAAATTCTGAATTTACTTTTTTAAATGAATTCTTTGATTCAAACTTATTGGCAATATTAATAGAAAACAATGACCAGATTGATCTAACTCATTGCCAATATTAGTAGAAATCAATGACCAGATTGATTCTATATTAGAATTTGATGAATATTTATTCCAACAATCAATGAATGATGCTATTATTTGATGATAATATAAAAGAAAACCTGTCTATGAGTGAAATAAATGAAGATTATGAAGATAATCAAGAAGAATATGATAAAGTAACAACAATGGAAGGAAATATTCCTCAATGTGTAAGATATATTGTACAAATTATTGGGTAACAAATGGAGGGCATCTACATATAAGAACAGGAACAAAACCATGTATACATGATAAAGAATCATCCCCATCTTTGATTTTCTTTTTTTAGATGGATCAACAATGTTGCTTCTTCAGATGAGATAAATGCAAAAAATATATTATTAAATCTTTTAATACAAGTTTTTAAAAATTTTAATACAGAAGTTTCTACCAAATCTATAGTACAAGGTTTCACATCAACAGAAATCCATAGTAGAAGAATCCTCCATAACTTCTAATAATTTAATAGTTCCTAGACCAACTTTATTTCTTTTAAGTGTAGTATTTAGAGCAAATAAAATATCTATAAATGAAAATTTACAATCAAATTAATTACAAATGGAATCATATATAAAATTTAGTAAATCTTTAGCAACATCTGTATGGAAATCACATACCCAACTCATAGAAAATAAAGAAACATTAGAGAACCTGCCACACTTGCTGAATT